AGAAAAGAAAAAAAAAACATGATACTTAGTCTGGTGTAATTGTCTTCAAAGAATTAAAATAGTTAATTAAAGGTTGCCATATCTGAAAAAAAACTTGTCAGAGCATTCCCTCTGAGCCTAAACTTGATTTTTTTCTAGTCTTAAAAAAAACATGACATCTTTCAGCCAGAGTGTCGCCACTGGGGGGTGAGGAGCTTTCCAGGAGAGTAAAATTCTGCGTCGTGCCAATAATGAAGTAAAGGCGATAACATCCATTTGTTCTTGACCAAGGTTTATGATGGAATCCTCAGGAACACCAAAAATCGCCACTAGTGGGCAGGGTTTTAGTGTAATGTTCAAAACCTTAGAGAGCACATCAAAGTAAAAAGACCAGTATGATTGAAGTAAAGAGACAGTTAAAAAACATATGAGTTAGATCACAAGGGGAAGTGTTACATCTGTCACACGTATCAACAACACTGGGATATATTTTTGATAGTCTTGATTTTGATAGATAAAGTCTGAATACTGTCTTAAACTGAATAAGGGAAAGTCTTGCACATGATGATGAAGTACGAATCTGGTCAGTTACTTTGTCCCAATAATCTTCCTCAAATTTAAGACAACAATTGTCTGAACTTCATTTCAGAGCACATGGCCAGTTAAAACAAGTTTGTATTGTTTCTATGATATTGTTCAAGGGTATGTTTTTCAATAAAATAATATTGGAAAGGTGTATTGTGACTTTATAACACCCGACAGTGTCGCTTATAAAACAAAATAAGTATCAGCCAAAATCGGAATCGGCAGGTCAGACTTTTTAGAATTCGGTGATCGGCCAGAAAAGTGCAATCGGTGCACCCCTACATTCCAAGAACATCCTCACTACACATTTGGGTCTACCAGGTCTGTCCAACATCCTCCCCTGCCATCTTAATTTAACTCACAACCAAGTGGTGATCGATTGTTGGCTCAGCTCCTTTACCAAAGCTTCAATTAGAAAAACTGCAGCCAAAGACTAAAAGTACATAAACTGTAACTAAAAGATAAAAGTAGTAAAACTGTAGATAAAAACAAAAAGTAGCAATAAGTTATCTTAAAGCTAAAACTAACACAGGGGTAGATACAAATATCAAAACACTCAATAAAAGCCAAAAATAGCTAAATATCAACTAACATTGATATTTTTTTCAAAGGTAGAAAAGAGCAAAACTGTATCTACAGTAATTAAAAGAAAAAATGGTAAAAGCTAATATTATCAAAACAGTAACTACTAGCTAAAATTAGCAAGTAGCTCTAATAGTTGCAGAACAGTATCTAAACGCTACAATAAGGATGTGAAGAGAGAAGTCTGCCAAAGCAGATTTCAGTGACAACATTTTGAAATGATTGAAAAGATCTCTGCATTTTTAAGAAGCTTTTTAAAAAGTTTAATGTTTTTAACAGTATAAAAGTTTAAATAAACTAAATGTCATAGAAAGATGAAAACTTTTGAAATATGGTTAAAATATCAAAAAATATGTTGATATAGTTTTAGTTTAACACATGGATTATTAACATCAAGAGAAGCAAGAATGTTACTTTTAAATATCACAGTTGTCCAGAGGACCAGATTGAACTTTTTTAGATTTGTCTACCTGGATTATTGAGCATGCATCAGCATGTCACAGTTGTGTATTTGCATATATATATATTTTTTTTTTTGTAAAGCTTTAAGGTCCCAATGCAGCAATTCAGTCAAGCTGTGGTCTGGATTTTGACTGGGTTTATGTAACATCTTGGCTTATTTCTTATTTTTATTTTTGGTTGTCCTTTTGTTGATTTACTGATGTGTTTTGGATGTTTCTGAGCAAAATGTCCCATTAACCACTGGAAGTATTAACTTTTGGAGTCAGTCTAATTCAAGATGGCTCCCTCAGCCACTTTAGACAACACAACAATAACTTTAACAGTCTCTTTTGAAGATACTGAGCAAAGATTTAGTGTGGTAGTAGCTGAGCATCATCTCCACTGCATGCTTTGAATGCAACACATTGCACAGCGTATTTGTTTCAAACATTAGCACCGACTGTCAGAGTCAACACAAGTCATCATTTGTCTGCTCTGACCTTGGGGAGAACATGCTCAAGATGTTGACTCTGTGAAGACTGGTAAATGTTCTGAAAGGTTTCCAGCTGGAAATAATATTTATCACTGTAGAGTGATGGACTTGAAAATCTAAAGTACTCCCATGTGTTTCTTCTCAGACGGATAGTTTTCAAAGAAATTACCATCCATCCATTTTCTAAGTAGGGAGGCCCAGACTTCCCTCTCCCCAGCCACTTGGGCCAGCTCTTCCATGGGTACCCCAAGGCGTTCCCAGGCCAGACGAGAAACATAGTCCCTCCAGTGTGTCCTGGGTCTTCCTCTGGGTCTCCTCCCAGTGGGACGTGTCTGGAACACCTCACCAGGGAGGCGTCCAGGAGGCATCCTAACCAGATGCCCGAGCCACCTCAACTGGCTCCTCTCGACGTGGAGAAGCAGCGGCTCTACTCTGAGTCCCTTCCAGATGATCAAGCTTCTCACCCTGTCTCTAAGGGAGAGCCCAGACACCCTGCGAAGAAAACTCATTTCAAATAAATTACCACCATGGTTATTCACTTACCTGTCCAGGGTGTACCCCGGTGTACCCACAATGATTGCGGGACATGGGCATCGGCGACCCCCGTGACCCAAAATGGAAGGATTGGGTAGAAAATAATGGATGGATGGTTATTCACTTTAACACAGGTTATATACACATTAGAAGTCACTTGTGAGGTTTTACCTGATGTTGTATTAGGGTGCGGGTTGGTGATAATGGACTTTTAAAGGAATTAGCAGTCCCCATTGCTTCAGGATAAAAGCTGTTTTTCAGTCTTGATGTTTTACACTTCCGACGTCTGAGCCTCTGACCTGAGGCCTCGAGTGAAAACAATCTGGATCTAAAATTACGAGTCGGACTCTGCAGGGTCCTCCTGAGACAGATATCTGGCAGTGATAGAGAGCTTAGACAACCCTCTCTGTGGTTCTGATGACTCTTTGGAGGTGCTCGCTGCACCACAGTGATGCTGCTCTGATGATGAAACTGCAGAAGCTGAGGAGGATGTTTGGCAGCAACACATAAAACTGTACAGCTATATCCACCTCACTGTGCTGTGACTGCTGGAGACGTTCTAGTTCTAGTACCGTTGCTCTGTTTTTGTTCTTTTATTCTCCTGTGTGTTTTGAGAGTTTGAACAGGAATTGGCTTTTAGCCTCCACAGCCCTCATGAATGGACTGTAACAGATCATTGCTGATTTCTTACCCACTTTATCGTTGTGTCAACCTGAAGGCTCCAAAGCAGCAAGTTGACTGAACTCCTGCTCTTACTGAGAACCTCACACTTCCTGATGATCACTTCATCAATGCATCTGATCAGCAGCACCTCACAGCTGCTCCTCCTCTAAATTCAGGGAAGCTGGACTCGGTGCTTCACCCGCTGCGTTCACATTCTGGGTTAGGTTTCGTTGAATTAATTTTGATGAAAGCAAAATGTTTTTATATCAATCCTAAAGAAAATGTAAATTAGATATTTTAATTACTTTCTTATAGATGAAACCCAGGATGGATGAATTTACATTATTTACAGAATATGTACAAGATTTAATTTTATGTTGCACAAATTAACTTTTAAAGCGTGTTAAAGAATAAAACAACGACAACACATCAACCCAAGCAGCATGAGGACATGAGGGCGCTCTAACAGACTCATGAACCGTGCTGCAGAAACGAGATATAAAACTTGAATTTGTTGATGAAAATACCGATTTCTAACAAATGTGTTTCTTTTGGACCTCTATCAGGTTTGTTGTCCTCATGAAGCTCCGTGAACTTTGAGAAATGCAGATGCAATGCGAATGCTTTTTGCTGAATGACCTTTGCTGAAACCAGCTGAAAAGGTGTCATAGCTAAACTGTTAATGCATGCTGAACTTGAACAGCTGACATTTGCTGAAAGCAGGAAAATAAAAATGGAAAGCAGAAAAAATGGTAGACGCTGAAAAGAGCAGAGACAGATTTGATGTGTGCATTTTGGAAATGGCATAAAAATTGTGGCACAAGTTACGAGTCAAATAACGGATGTCAAGAGTGTGAATGCTTTAGAATCACAATAACACAGTTATCAGACGCAGGCGGCTGTTCTCATGTTTCACATCTAATACAACACGACATGAGTTTATTATTTCTCACAAAGTTTAGCTCTGTTTGAATAGAAACTTAAAGAGCTTCATTTTTATGGAGGTTATTTATTATTACCTCCCTTGAAGGTGAAACAGTCACATTATTTACTGGTCAGTTGTGTTAGCAAAATATCTTATAAACCTGTAAACTAACTTTAAAGGAACTTTTACAACATAGCAATATACAAATAATTAGGGTTTAATATTTGGGGTCCACCCAGTTGAACATGGGTCACAGTTTAACACAAGGACTGGTTTTAGATGGAGCCAAAACTTTGTGTGAAGTTGTTGAGGAGGACTCATGAGGGCTGACACATCTTAACATTATGTAGGGAATGGTTTCATCCCCATCCTCCCACTATAAAGGATCTGAGCTTGTGGTGTAAACGGTGGCGGGAGATCTGCATTCCTTCAACGCCAGAATTAAAACCAAAGAGCTAAATCTGATCTGTCGCTCTGAGATTCTGTTGGAATCTGTTTCTTTTCCAACTCAGACTTGACTTTCTGTCCAAGTTCTCCTGAGGAGGGGTGACGTGTTGCACCTGCAGCGCGCGCGGTCCTTTACCGCATGAATATTGATTCTTGAAAAGTCGTCTCGCCACGCACGCAGCCCGCACGTCATTGGCCTGACATCAGCACGCGCTTTAAATGCCCACAACACCAGAGAGCCGGGAAACAACAGAGAGGCTGATCAGAACCAACCCAGCAGCCTGAACCCGAACTTGAGACTCGCGCACTTTGCGCTCCGTTACGCGCCATGTTTCCAACAGGTTGCTTTTAATGATGATCAACGGAACCGGTGCCTTTGGAGAACTGGACCAGGATGCTCTCAGCCAGAACCACAGCTCGTTTCCCGCGCTGCGCCTCGAGTCCAGGTCTTTGGTCACTTCAGCCACCATGTTCGCAGTGGGAGTCCTGGGGAACCTCATCGCCATAGTGGTGCTATGCGTGTCCAAAAAGGAGCAGAAGGAAACCACCTTCTACACTTTGGTTTGTGGGATGGCCATCACAGACCTGCTGGGCACGTGCTTCACCAGCCCGGTGGTGATCGCCACCTACGTGTCCAGCCGGTGGCCGGGCGGCGCGCTGCTCTGCCACTTCTTCTCCTTCTCCATGCTGTTCTTCGGCTCGGCGGGCATGTCCATCCTGTGCGCCATGGCTGTGGAGCGCTACCTGGCCATAAACCACGCTTACTTCTACTCCAAGCACATCGACCGGACGATGGCGCGCTTCGCTCTCCTCGTGACTTACCTGGCCAACATCGTGCTCTGCATCATGCCCAGCTTCGGCTTCGGGCAGCACGTGAGGCACTTCCCGGGGACGTGGTGCTTCCTGGACTGGAGGGCGGCGAATCCGCTCGGCGCGTGCTACTCCTTCCTGTACGGCGGCGTGATGCTGCTGCTGATCGCCGTGACGCTGCTGTGCAACGTGGCTGTGTGCAGGTCCCTGGTGGGGATGAACCAGAGGAGCGGGATCGTTCGGACCGAGCTGTGCGAGCAGAGCGGCGCGCGGCGGCGCTTCCCCCGGCTGCCGTCCGTCACCACAGCTGCAGAGATCCAGATGTTCTGGCTCCTGGTCTTCATGACCATCGTGTTTCTGGTCTGCTCCATCCCTTTGGTGGTAAGGAAGAGCAGTCCTTGTTTTGGGGCTTGTGCGGGTACAGTTGGCTGATGTAAGGATATTTATCTGTCTTGCTTTTACCTGACAGGTGAGGATCTTTGTTAACCAGCTCTACGACCCCCCCTACATTTCTGCTGGGGGGAAGCCGGACTACCGGAGCGACATGCTGGCAATCCGTTTTGCCTCCTTCAACCCCATCCTGGACCCCTGGGTCTACATTTTATGTCGGAAGAACCTCCTCCTGAAGGGCTGCGGGAGGTTAAAGAGAGCCGTGGACCGGGCCACGGAGGGCAGAGGGGGTGATGAGGGCTGCGTGGGGGGCCAAAACTCCACCCCGTCTCTACACAGCAACGACACCAGTTATGCGTCATTACGCATGTCCAGCTACCACACCGGACACCCGGAGAAAACCACGTCTTTTACAGACTTCACGATGAGACAAGCGTGGGAGTACGACACGTCGCGCGCCAACTTCCACCCGTTCTGCGTGGAGTCCACCGCGATCATCGGCTGCGAGGAGGAGGCGGCCGCGCGCCGGGAGGGCGCGGAGAAGAGCTCCCCTGGGCGCAACTGCGTGGCGCACATCAGGAGAGTGGACATAGTTACGTGCACGTTCAGCACACCGAGTTCCACGCAGTCAGCCAAATGTCTCTGATGCTGTGGAGGTCGAGCCAAACAGAAAGACTCAGACTTGTATGATCGCCCGCCGCCGAAAGGTGAATAGCGTTCATGTTTTCATGGCACAGATTCAAATAATGCAGAGGCGCCCCCAGAAAGCTTTGAAAGGGGGCACACAAAACCAAACATAAAAAAAAACTATCTTCTTAAAACAACTTTTTTTTTCCTAAACACAATTAGAAACTTTTACTAGCTTTACTTTTAAATAAAAGTAAAACACATATTGTTAGCAAGAGGTCTCATGTTACATGACGCCTCCCTGTCTGTGCGTGCTGAGTCTGAGGACAGGTCTCTGCACCCAGTCTGGGCTCTGGACCAGAACCTGAGAACTCTCATTTGACCAGTAACTTCTGCTTCACAGGATTAACTCTGATTTTAATTTTATTTTTTAAACATGGAAATGAAAATATATGAAACCCACTGGGTAAAAAATACTGTGAGATCCTGAGTTTGATCCTCCTACTGAAGCTGAATGTATCGCCATGGTAACGATTATCCATCCTGCTGTTGTCTCACCATATCTGTGTTCTGTAGGCCAGAATGTCTCCCCCCAACACACCTGCAGGCTCATTACTGCTGAAGAGGTCATTCACTCTATGCCCCTAAGGGCGATAACGTTTTTGTTGCTGTGTGAGTGTGCATGTGTCTGTTAGCAAAATATCTCGTGGACCACTGAACAGATTTTTATGAAACATTCAGGGAGCAATAACAGGATGAACCTCTTTGACTAAATCATGTTTGGAGCCAACGCGAGTCAAAAAGGCCACCCCATCCAAGTGACTTTGGAAAATACAAAAATGGTAACAAGTGAGTCAGTTCAATTATTGTGCTAAAAAAAATAATTGGCAAAATGTTTGTATAAAACTAATATAAACTGCTGGAGTAAACTTTGCCTGTTAGCAAAATATCTCATTAACCTGTAAAATTATTTTAAAGAAACTTTCAGAAATGAGTTGATAACAAAAATTAAAACAACTGATTAACTTGAGCTTAATGAAACAAACTGCAGCCACAGCTAAGGGACAATACTGGCTAATGTCCCTTTATACAGTATACATATATATGCAGTATATCCATATATACAAAGATATATATACAGTATATATATATTTCATAGATATTAAGCTACACTGTGATACGGTAGTAGCCCAGTCATTCACAACACATACTTTTGATGTGACGTCATGTCTGCCCATAAAATACTGTTCAAGGTTTAACCAAAATGGCTCCACCTCTGTCATTTCTCATCATAAGAAGACCGAAGTGTGAAACTGTGACATGAGAGGTTATAGATTCATCCCTCCCAGGAATGCTGTGAGTAAATGAGGTGTGTTGGAGCCTGGACACATCATGCAGGACACATGGCGCCCTGAGGACCAGGTGTGTGGACCGCTCTTCTGGATTCTGTTTTTAAGCTGCTTTTAGATGATCTCCTCCACCAAGTGTTTTAAAAATGAAACTGAATGTAAACACTTTGAATACTGTTGCACTTTGAGACCTGCATTAGTGAACAGCCAATGTGAACAACAGCATGTTTTAAATAAAAATGAAAAGCTCTCGAGGTTTTTCCTGGATGTTTTGTTTAGGAAGAGAAATAAAGCGACACGTTTCACAACTGTGAACATCTGGTGGTGCGGATCAAACTGGATTCACAGCTTTTGGAGCAATCATCATCATCATCATCATCATCCTCAGGTGACAGGAAAGCTGCTTGTTCAAAAGTTGTTCTGTAGTTTGAACAGCAGGTGGCGCTACAGGGTAAGGCAGCCCACTGTGAGGCTCAGAGAGGATGAAGGTCATACAGTAAAACTGACCAAAAAAATTAAACAAGTCATATTTAAAAACTTTATTTCCTTGAAGGATAATGCCATACAAAAATAAAGAACATTTTAATAATAATAATAATATTGACAATAATAATCTAGGGTGATGCAGAAAAACTGTATTTGAAAGTAATTATGGAACAAATTAAATAAAAAAAAAATAAGTTGTTTTTTTTAACAATAAAAATCTGGCCAGATTTTTTTTTTTTTTTTTTTACGTTTAAATTCTATTTATTTTTAACCATTTAAAAATTTGACAATAAAGGGACTCATCAGCCATTTTGAACTGGGGTTCTGTGTAGAAATCATGAATCTTTAATAACCTTCCAGCTGTAGTTCTTTGAACCAGCTCAAACTGGTTAGTAATGACTGCTAATGGTTAGCCTAAATGGGACCAAGACCAAAGTGGACTCCGGCCATCTTAAAACAACTCTACGTCAAAGGTTTGATAGCAGTCCATGCGTGGGTGGAATGACACTGCTGTCAGTTTCACGTCGTACAGCAGAACATCCTGAGGTTATCTGGGAGCACAAATAGCAGCAGCAGCAGTGAGCTGTAACACTTCCTGTGGTACTTCGGGAAGGAAAATCATATTTTTGATCAAATAATCGTGCAGTGCAAAACCATTTAAAGGTTTATTTATAGCATGTGCATGAACTGCTATAAAGTTTTGAGTTGTTTTAAAAGAGCAAAATGACTTTGAAAGGTGCTTGGCTCCAACGAGCCATCATTAGCTCTAAAGCTCAAATCTGTCACTTCACGACCGTCTTGGGTGATTCGATTGAAAATGGACAGACCTGATTGAGCACGTTCACACCTGGAAGGTAAATGTATATCCCAAAGAACTTCAGAAGGTCTGCTGGAGCCCGTATCATTATAAACTATTGTTTTTGTCACATAAACACAAGTCAGAGCCATTTGAGTCACATTTTGTAAATGATAAATGGACTGTACTTATATAGCGCCTTTCTATACCCAAACACGAGAGTCAAGTGCTTTACAACACAACCTGTCTTCGTTTACATGGGGCAGCTGTGGCGGAGCGGTTAGAGCAGTCGTTCTCCAATAGGAGAGTTGGGGGTTCAATTCCACAAGCAGTCAAATGTTGAAGTGTCCCTGGGCAAGACACTGAACCCCTCATAGCCTCTGATGTGTGTCCCATCAGTGAATGAATGTGATAAAGCTCTGATTATTCTTTGTATAGATGTAGTAGAGTGCTGTGGGTAAATGAGGCACAGATTGTGTAAAGAGCTTCGATGTCTTGATAAGATAGAAAGGAGCTGCTGTATGAGTACAGTCCATGAACTCATCCACACACACATTCTTAGAACACTTTACTACATCTCTGCAGCACTAAAGTGGATAAATAATTCTGTAGGGTCCAGTCAGTGCGTTACATCACATCCATACACTGATGAGGCACATGGACAGTCTTCATGCTCAGGTCTGAGCTTCTGTTAAGATCTGATTCTTTGCGGTGTCGTTTACTTCATTGTTAACACGCTGTGTTTGAAGAATTTGGATGCTACGCACGTTAGCATGTGCGCATGGGTTCTGAAGTTGTTAGAAATGATTAAAACTGTATCTGACACGACTGTTTGCTCCAGTGTTTATTTTTGCTACGTGCTGAAGGTAGAAACAAACTCAAGTATGGATCCTGTCACGCTAGTATCCACAAGGTCCAATACTAATGTTAGCATCGTATTTCACTGTACTCAGCCATCTATATATCTTTTCTGTTGCTGAACATGTGCAGAGTTCCAAGATTTAAACTGCACATGATATTATTTTTAATACCAGGACCTTTCTGGGTGGAGTTTGCATGTTCTCTCCGTGCATGCGTGGGTTTTCTCCAGGTGCTCCTGTTTCCTCCCACAGACCAAAAACATGCATGTTAGGCTGATTGGTAACTCTAAATTGTCCCTAGGTGTGAGTGAGAGAGTGAATGGTTGTTTGTCTCGTTTGTCTCTATGTGTCCCTGTGATGGACTGGAGACCTGTCCAGGGTGTCCCCTGCCTCTTGCAAAGTGATGGCTGGACATGGGCACCATGTGACCCGAAAAAGGAAGAAGCAGGTAAAGATTATGGATGGATGGATGGATGGATCCTCTTACCCCTACCCCATGAGGTAAAAGTTGGATGAAATGTGACATGTTCGTTCAGAATGCAGTTGCATTGAAAAACATCACGTATGTATTTGATTTGGTACCACATATGGAAAAAAACTAGAACGAATGATTAAAAATCAGACTTGTCACGTTCAGACTGTCGTGAAAAAATCCATTTCGGGCTGCATGGGGACAAAACTTTTTTTTAATTTGGGCCAAATTTGCCTGCAGTGTGAACATAGCCTATATGTTCCTCTGATGGACTTGTGACCTTTACCAGGGGTGGGGGGGTGGAGGGTACCCCGCCCGCCAAACAATAACTAGAGATAAAACACCAGCTCCCATGTTACCTGGAAAGGAAACAATGGGTAAAGGAGACGGGTCTACCAACGCAGACATGTTCCTGTTTTTTTAGTTTTCTACATTCGCCTTAAAATCTAGCTGTTTTTGATACTTTTTGTTTGCTATCTTATTTGTAAAAAAAAAAAAAAAAAAAACTGTATGCTTTTTTATAACCGTTTATTGTTGTCATGTCATCATTCTTTGTTGAAATCAGGTCTCTCTTGTAAATGAGTCCTCGAGGCTCAATGGGATTAACCTGTCTAAATAAAGGTTGAATGAATGGGAAATTTAGATATTATTATTATTATAGTTGTTTCAGGTTTAAAACTAATATTTTCTACCACGATTGTGTTTAGAGAAGTAGGCAGGCCCTCCAGTGTGCAGCCATCTCCTGAAATACAACATGGCAGCTCCCATGAATCGGGTCCTGCTATTGTAGCAGATGTTGATGGTGCGGACTTGCCATTTTCACAGAACCCTTCTTCAAAATGGTTGAAACATCCCTCTAAAACATCTGGGTTACCTGTCAGAGCAAAATAAGATGCTGTTGAGGTTCAAATGGACGTTAAGTCTCCATCGTGTCAGCCGTAAGGGAGAGGACCTCCTGTAGAGGAGCATCTGAGCTTTTCCTTTGGCCTGGTGCGAGTTCATGTGACAAAACAGTACGAAGCCAAAGCAACTGTGAACATGAAATGTGAATCTTGGCAATAAATAGATATATTTATCTACATTATAAAGTTTATAAAATCAGCTCTCATATGAAGCCATAATAAATAAATAATTTATCTGAAATAAATACATATTTTACTTTGACACAGTAATACATGAAGATGCATGGCATCCATTTGGCTGAGTTCACCTGAACGTAGAAAATATGAAACATGGGTGGGGGGTGGGGGTTGAGGGGCTCCAAAGAGCTGGGTTGGAGTGAGCGTCGTACGTTATAAACGTGGACACAGCGTCCGTCCTGTCACTGTGTTCTTCTTCAGAGCTGCTGAACTTCAGTCGTTGGGTCTGTCCCACATCAAAGCAAAACATTTTTCACACAAACACTTTTCCTTTCATGAATAAAAACTGGGTTTGGAGAATCCTGCATGGAACATGGAGTTGAAAACAAACCATTCTTTGATGAGGCGGCGATCGTTCCCTGGTGATCCTCCCCCTCAGTCTCTGATTGCGACCTTTGTCTCCTATTGTCCAGCTGCACCCGACAAATGGCCTCCATCGCTTCCTGTTCAGTGCGTGGCGCCCCCTCAGCCCATGCACATGCAGCTGGCAGCAGACAGTGACTTGATGGTCCTCCACGTGGTCTGAGCGTCCATGAAGGAAACGGGCTCGTAGCGGTCCGGCCGGCAGCAGGGCAGGCTGCTGACCCTACGGGCGGTGCGGCGAGGCAGCGAGCCGTTCTCCAGCAGCGCCTTGAGCGCCAGGTCGTAGTTGGTTCTTGAAGACTGGCAGGAGCCCACACAGAACTTAAAGAGGACCGTCTCATCTGAGTCAAACCCCAGACCCAGGTCCCGGACCCTCATCTCTTTCTTCTCCACACGGCAGTCTCTGCTGCTCTGCTTTGGGCGCCTGCTTCTACCTTTACCCCTTCTGTCCACATTTGCGGTTTCTTCCTCTTCCTCCTTTTCTTTCTTCTTCCTTTTCTTCTTTTTCTTCGGCGCGCCCTTCGGCTGAGGTTCTGTGGGGTCAGAGGAGCGTGGGGAGCGCCCTGCCCAGCGAACACTGGAGTGGTCGTCCATCTCCTCTATTACAAATGGCTCTGAATGGAAAAGAATGGAAGGTGGAGGTTAGAACGAACACGCACAAAGTACAGAACATGTTCTCACATACTGCTGATTCAGCACTCACATCACTGTCTCCAGGTTCATCACATTTCTTTCTATTCTACTTGTGCAGACTTTGTGATATTTATCCATTTATACCAAAACTGTCAGCTCAAGAGATGAGCGCAATGAATTTTGGGTTTTGTGGATTTTAAACTTTTCAAAATATTCACTTTTATTTTTTTGTGTTTTGCTTATATTGAAGTCTCGATTCCTTTAAAATCATTGCTGTATTTTAAATCTGTTTCAGCAAAATAGTTAGGTTTTAGTCTTCTGCTACTTTTAACTAGCCTTTTATAGTTTTAACTAACAATTTCCTACATTTGTTTTTTTTTCTCTTCTGGGCCAGTGCTGGTTGTAGCTTGCCTTTCGTTACTTTTAGTTGTTAAATGGTAAATGAACTGTACTTATATATCACTTTTATATCTGATCAAGACACTCCAATCTCTTTACAACACAATCTGTGCCTCATTTACCCGTTCATACAGCACTCTACTAGATCTGTAGAAGGAATAATCAGAGCTTCATCACATTCATACACTGATGGACACATCGGAGGCCATGAGGGGTTCAGTGTCTTGCCCAAGGACACTTCAGCATGTGACTGCTGGTGGAATCGAACCCCAACTCTCCCATTTGAAGACAGCTGCTCTAACCACTCAGCCCTTTGCTATTAGCCTACCTTTTAGTTTGACCCTTCATTTAGCTTTGAACTATTCTCAAGTTCTTTGAAGCAGCATGATGGATCAGCGGTTAGCACTGTTGCCCTCACAGCAAGAAGGTGGTGGGTTCAATCCCCAGTTGGACGGGGGGTCTTTCTGTGTGGAGTTTGCATGTTCTTCTCGTGCTTGCGTGGGTTTTCTCTGGGTACTCTGGTTTCCTCCCACATATTAAAAACATGCATGTTAGTCTGGCTTCAGGCACAATCCTCCTAGCAACAGAGATCTGTGATCTCAATGTGATTTGCCTGGTTAAATAAATAAGTTTTTAGCTTCCATACTGTTACTTTTAGCTAGTCTCTTGCTGCTATTGGCTTCTAGCTATTTTTTTCTAATTTGATCATTAAACTAGTCTTTACTACTTTTAGCAATTAGCTAGTGTTCTGTTTCTTTTAGCTTTAACAACTCAGTTTCAGACTACGCTCTCACTGTATTATCACAGAAAATACAATTTGTCCAGTTATCAAATGAGCTACTATCAAATGGTTTCTGCCATGTGCAGATGATGGATCTTAGATTCTACTTTCAGAAGAGTTTCAGTACCATACAGAGCATGCCACGTGGAGTACGGGTCGCTCTCATCCTCCTGCTTTTTGTCCACCTCTGGCAAGGTGAAAGGAAACTCCTTCTCCTCCTGGGCTTCCAGCAGGCCAGCAGGGCGGCTCGAGTCTGATCCAGCACTGACAGCAGCAGGACCAGCTCTCATATGGGCTCCTTCCACCAGAGGCAGCAGAGAGACAAGCACCCACAGCAGCACCTGAGGAGCAGGGAGGAGACATGAGCTACTCACAGAGGACTTCAGGCTGAAGACCACCCTTGTGTGCAGGGGGAGGGGGATGTTAGCAAAAAAATACTATGAACCTCTAGACAAATTTTGATGAAACCTTCAAGAAAAAAAAAATCCTTGGATGTACATCTACAACTGATTACATTTTGAAGCCAACATTATTAGTCAACAGGGTTCAAAGAAGCTACAGCATCTCGACATAAGGTCTTAGTCTTAACTGGAGTTAGTGGGAGAGATCATATCTCTCCAGTTTTAGCTTCTCTCCACTGGCTCCCTGTTAAATTCAGAATAGGATTCAAAATCTTACTTCTAACAGGGCTCTATTTTAGGTCCCCTGCTTTTCTCCCTTTACCTGCTTCCATTGGGATCAATCCTTAGAAAGCATGGGATCTTTTTTCATTGTTACGCTGACGACAGTCAGATCTATATGCCACTTAAAAAGAAAGATGCCCCCTCAATTAGGCCACTTCTGTTGTGTCTTGAAGACATCAAAGCCTGGATGTCTTTAAACTTCTTAAATTTCAATGAAAAGAAAACAGAAGTGATGGTGTTTGGTCCTAGTGGCTCTTGTGAACCTTGCCCAGTGGATCTGGGCCCTCTGGCACCACATGTAAAGAAAACTATTTCTAACTTGGGTTTTAAAATGGACAGTGATTTTAAATTAGAGTCCCAGATTGGAGCGGTGGTCAAGACCAGTTTTTATCACCTCAGACAGCTGGCTAAGGTAAAGACCATCCTTACAAAACAGCAGCTGGAAACAGTAATCCATGCCTTCGTCACCTCTCGGCTGGATTACTGTAACGCTCTTTACCTTGGAGTCAGCCTCCAGTTGGTCCAGAACGCTGCTGCTCGGCTTCTAACTGGAGTTCAAAAAAGGGAGCACATCACCCCCACTCTTGCTTCACTCCACTGGCTGCCTGTTCATTTTAGAGTTCATTTTAAGATTCTTTTATTTGTTTTTAAAAGTTTAAATGGTCTTGCTCCATCCTACCTCTCTGAGCTGCTTCACCCATACTCTCCTGCTCGGTGCCTCAGATCAGCTGATCAGCTGCTCCTGGAGGTGCCGAGGTCTAAGCGGAGGCTCAGAGGGGACAGAGCTTTTTCTGTTGCTGCTCCAAGACTGTGGAACGATCTCCCTCTTCCCATCAGACAAGCCCCTTCACTGTCCAGTTTTAAAACTCTTTTAAAAACACATTTTTACTCCCTGGCTTTTAGCACACACTGAATTTACACTGCACTGTTTTTATTACTTTTATTGATCTTAATGTTTTAACAACTGTTTTTATGTGTTTAAATGTTCTTGATTTTATATGTACAGCACTTTGTGGCAGCTGTTGTTGTTTTAAAGGGCTTTATAAATAAAGTATTATTATTATTATTATAACATACAAAGCTGGGGGGAGTGGGGGCGCAGAGGTTAGAAGATGGGCTTGTGATGGGAAAGTCGCAGGTTCAACTCCTGGTACCGTCAACATCAAAATGTGGGTGGAAAAGGTGAAACACCCACACCTGCCTCCACCCTCACTTGCCCCACCTTGGGCCTCTGAGCAAGACCCCTAACCCCCACCATCTGCTCCCTAAACAGGTGTCTCTTGAAAATGAGTTCTCGTGGCTCATTGAGACTACCTGGATAAATAAATGTAAATGAAAACAAAAAAGCTCTCAACAACCTAGCTCCATCTTATATTACAGATCTTATTGTTCCATATTTTCCTAACAGAGCACTTCACTCTCAGACTGCAGGTTTACTTGTGGTTCCTAGAGATTCCAAAACAGAATGGGAGGCAGATCTTTCAGTTATCTTCTTTTCATTTACTCTTTATTTATCCAGGTAGTCTAATTGAGCCACGAGAACTCATTTTCAAGAGAGACCTGTTTTAGGGAGCAGATGGTGGGGGTTAAGGGCCTTGCTCAGGGGCCCAGGGAGGGGCAAATGAGGGTGGAGGGAGTTGTGGGTGTTTCACCTTTTCCACCCACATTTTGACGGTACCGGGAGGTGAACCTGTGACTTTCAGATCACAAGCACATCTTCTAACCTCTGCGCCACCACTCCCCCATCAGACTCCTCTCTTGTGAAACCAACTTCCAGTTTCTGTCCGTGAGGCTGACGCATTGTCTGCTTGTAGGATTAGACTCGTCTTTCATAAATCCTATAGTTAGGGTCGGCTTTGGTTTCCTGAGCTGTCCCTTAGTTATGCTGCTATAGGTTTAGACTGTTGGAGGACAAACTGACCACACTTCCTCACTCTGCTACTGTCTTTACTTACTCTGCTCAACCTGTTTGTGTTTGTAATTGTTTCTATCTTATCAAGTGTTTTTTTTTTTGGTCTTTATTCCAATAGGGGGTACATCTGCACCTACATCTGGACCTACATCTGCACCTACATCTGCACCTACATCTGGACCTACATCTGCACCTACATCTGCACCTACATCTGGACCTACATCTGCACCTACATCTGCACCTACATCTACACCTACATCTGGACCTGCCATTCCGTGTTTGTTTGTCTCTCCTTCCTGTTCCTCTTAAACCAGCCGTTCAAAGTAGATGGCTGCTCGTCCTGAGCCTGGTTCTGCTGGAGGTTTCTTCCTTTTTAAAATGTGTTTTCCTTTCCACTGTTGCCACTGTGCTTGCTCAGGAAGGGAAACTGCGACAAAGTGAAGATTCAATGACAGCTGGCTTCCTCAGATAGAAAACTTTACTAACTGGCTTTTTGATGTATGTGAATGTTTCTGCTCAGTGCCCTGAGACAACTTTGTTGTGATTTGGCGCTACAGTATATACTTTGTAGATAAACTGAACTGAACTGAATTGAACACATAAATGATTATCTCTGTCAGTTTTCTAGATTCTGAGGTAAAATTTAAAATGCATACTGTTAGCGTGACATTTCCCAAACTTGCAGGTGATTCTCAGGGTTCAAAGCAGCTACAGCATCTCAACATAAAGTCTTAGTCATAAATGCTGGCAGTAAATGTAGTAACTGACTTGCATTTCTTCAAGGAATGCTAGGTTTTTATTTTGTAATATTAAAAACTACATCTTTTAATTTGCAGTTTCAAGGTCGAGCAAAAGCAGAGTGGATTTAGGTCCAACTTCTGTCTCATTTTACATCTGTTTTGAACCACAGCAGCTCCACAGAGGGCCGCATGCCTTTGAGTTCAATAAAGCATTTAGTAAAAGTTTCATGTGTTTTTCATTGTAGCTTGACATCGACATTGTATGAGAAAATGACTTTGGCAATATTTAAACTACAGACATTAAAATTGTACCAATTATCTCATTTTCTTCAACTAATATTTGAGAATGTTGATGGTTTTATATATGTATTTATTTTAAATAAGCCTTGTTGTTTAGAACTTTCTTTGTCTGTGCTTCACTACTGACTAACATCCCTGTAATATATATATATATATATATATATATATATATATATATATATAAACTTAAGATTTGATAGGATTATGTTTACAGCTCATCCAGTTTTAAAATTCATTCAACCTTTATTTATACAGGCTGGCCACATTGAGCCACAGGGACTCATTTACAAGAGGGACCTGTTCCAGACAAAACATATAAAGTACAGACAACAATAAGAGTAATCAACGACAACAATAAATTACAATTAAAATGCAGTTAAATACGAGTAGTGTATAAAATAATGAATCAGGGTGAAATACTAAAAACAAGAACATATTTGCTTTAATTTTTCGAATGACTTTATCAAATGTTTGAAACCTCTTAAAGAAATCAAGGAAGACACTTCAGCTCCTGCTGAAGGTGTTCCAGGTGCAGGAGCTGAGTAGGAGAAGGCCTTTTTGCCAAGTTCACTCCACACTAGAGCTGTCATGGGACCACACGATCCAATTTCTGGGCGGGCCTGGCCATGATAATGTGCTGGCCGGGTCGGGCTTTTAATTGAGTCAGGATCAGCCGCGGTCCAATTATATGATGACATGGCCTGCCATACTTCACCAGCCTCACACAGTCATTTTACCGTGAGCTGACCGGTCTTGAAAGTGGTAGAAAGGTCACTTAAGCTTAAGATGGGACTATAATGCCAGTAAGTGATCCATCGCCCAAATGGACGCTCATTCAGCCGCTGCACTCAGCGGACGCACGCGGCCGATGACCCAAACAGGTGAGATCTCAAAGCAGACGTGTCAGAGCGATCCGTGTCTGAATAAATCAGAATGCAGCAGAAAACAGATTTAAATGCTCTTTTATGGCCATGAAAGGACAAACACCCCCTCAGCTCAGATCTTCTGCCCCATTCAGCCGTGCACCCCCGACAGTTAATAACTCATTAAAAATGTTTTTTGTTGTTTTTTTCCACGTTCGGACCTGTAATTACTGTTAATATGTCGGGTCAGGTGGGGTTCAAAAATGATGACTGCGGGCTGGAGCCGGGTCGGATCGGATTTTTGGGCCCAAATGCAACTCTACTACATGTAGATAATGATGACCAACTGACCAGTGAGTACAGAGTGCAGTGATGGGTACGGTCGTTACAACCAGTTATGAATCTTAGTGCACCACGATAACAGCATCCAACATCTGCAAGCAGCTGGCAGGAGCATTCATGTGGTTCATATGTGTATTCTGGGTACTCCAGTTTCCTCCCACAAACCAAAAACATGTATGTTAGACTGATTGATAACTCTAAATTGTCTCCAAGTGAGAGTGAGAGAGTGAATGGTTGTTTGTCTCATTTGTCTCTATGTGGCCCTGTGATGGACTTGCGACCAGTCCAGGGTGTACCCCGCCCCTCGCACAGTGATTGCTGGACATGGGCACCGGCGACCCTCTTGACCGAAGCGGGTAAAAGAGAATGGATGGATATATATATATATATATATAGTATGTATGGTAAAAGTTAGAAACACTTTTTGCAGCTAACCCATCTTGAATTATGCCAGTCGGCATGATGTACAATATCGTTTAGTGTACAGTAGTCCCTCACTAG